TGCTGAAAATTCAGGCTTGTAAAATCCTCAATATAGCATTCTTCTTCTTTCTCTCTCTTTCTTTAAAACCGAAGGGTCAAACAGTCACATGCGACCTCACGGAGAGTGCTACGTCGGTCCAAGCAAAATGCATCAAGCAACGCCTACCCAATTGAAATTAGTAGGTAATTTTATGTTTATAAATTGTATTTAATATTATAATGAAGTTAAATAAGGATTGGGTGTTGAACAGCCCAAAAATCGAAAGTGGGTGACGATTTCAACCTACAGGATGGTTGATGAGGGTAATAAACCGGACGTAGTAGGCAGCGAAAAGGGGACAAATAATTTTTGCCATGGCTTTTTGGCCCGCAGATGATTTCACAGGCCGTGAAGTGGATCCCTCGGCCTACTTTTCGCACGCGTTCAAAGTCGAAGCAAGAATGTGTGAGCCGCTACCAAGGATAGCTTGTCCGTCCTTCGCAATGTGAGCTCTTGTTCCTGCAGTCTCGTGGGAACCCGTTTGCCGGTTTCACTAACATAACTGGCTTGACCACAAAGACAGTCGATACGCTGGGTAAATAAATAACTGGTTCCAGAGAGCGCTTTTCCATCTTCTATTCAATTACCTGGGTCTCGTATATTTTTGACCAATCAGAATATTTTCGGGCTCAAAGCGCATGAAGCAGCACGTCGTTGAGAATCCTTTTCCTATCGACAGGCATCAAAGTATGCTCATCTAGACTCAAATACTCTGCCGAGATGCCTCTCGTATTAGTCTCCAGTCAACGTTTAGCTAGTTAGATGAACGGCCCTGCAGAACTTACAAAAAACGATTCGGGTTCTAATCCAAAATTGTCACTTACGTTTGCGCAAGTACACAGCAAAAATCGAGGGAGGGCAGCCAAATGCTCAACAATCCTCGCAGAAGCGCTAACGAAGGATTTTCATCGTACCATATCTTTCAACGCCCGACTCATTCGCGATGCACGTGACGCCAAAGTGGCGCAGAAATTGATCACATTGAGCGAAAAGAATGATAGAGTCTGGCACGCCAAGATCGTGCACAATCTGTCCTCCAAACAACTGAGGGGAGAGCAGACAAGAATCCTGAGCTATGTTTCAATACCACGGATGCAGACCCACTTGACGTCATCGTGGCTGTGGAATCTATCATTCGCGAAGCTCCAATTCCGGACGAAAACCGAAATCTGCTATGACAGCGAATATCCTCCAGACTGATGTCCCACAAAAAAATGCAGTACGCTCTGGAAGTCAGAAAACGAAGCTCTACGGAC